ATTTATTACATCACATTATTATTATATTTTTAATAAATATTCCACATTAGTTTTACAATTATAGTCCTAATTAAATTAAAACTTAAAATATTGTGGCTTTCATCCCTTCTCAATTTTACTTCTCTTCCATTATCCCTCCCCACCTCATCGACATTCAAACCTTGCACACCACCACCAATTAGTCCTGAATTCCCCATTAATCCTGCTTAGAAAAGTTCAAAAACTTCTCAAATAAATGCTCATTTTGTTGGGATCCTTTAAACCCACGTGTTGTGAAAAAATGGAAGAGATTAATGGAGCAATAAGAAGTATTGATCGTTTACCAAACAAGAACAAGATTTAAAGTAAATAAAAGAAAAAATTGACAGAAAAATCGATATTTTATTAAACAACCAATGAGAGAAAATACAATTTCAGTAATTTCTGCTCTCCAAAAACTGAATAAAGAGTCTACTATTTATAGAAAAGATATTCAAACCCAATATGGAAACAGGATAAAAACAATAACGTGAAATAAATGAAACAATATTTTCCTAGTAAAACACGTGAAATAAAAGAAATAATATTTTTCCAAATACGTGCAAAGAAGGAAAAGTATTTTCCCAAAAATTTCAACCTAATTTGGGTTACAAAATCCAACAATCTCCACCTTGACACAAATTCTGGTGTAACAAACGAAACTCCAAAATTAATCCACCTGGAAAAATAAGTCTGACTGCATCAAAATAAACTAATCTCTTCATTCAGTACCAAAACTCTCCACTTCACGAAAAAATCACATTTGCCCAGTGTCTACAAGCGACACCTAAACCCAACCCCGGGTTCCCAAAATTCCAACAAAGAATTTAACAAATACCAAACAGGGTCGAAGCATACCCTATAACAAAATTCATACCAAATGTGTAAATTGAAGGCCCCTTGCTAGAATTGTCACCTTTAAAAACCCCGAAAGTATGACACATCTGAAACCCAGTACCTATGTTCCATGAGTCTTCCCCTAGCAAATGACTTAGAGCCCAACATGAAAGGTACTATACCAAACTGGATCTCTTCCAAGGTACTAAACCTGTCCGATGTCTCTTCACTGGTTTTGCGCGCCCTTGCAGGATATACTATTGAGAACTTTTCCGTCCTTCCAGCACAACACGACGACCCCTTTGGACCTTCAAGATTCCACCTCCATCGTAGAATGTTTACCCATTAGAATCCATGGTACTCAGCGAGATGAGATTCTTCCTTAAGTCTGGAACATGTTGAACCTGGCCAAGAACTCGAACTGTCCCATCCAATAACCTCAATCTGACCCTGCCGATTCCAGCAACCTTACAAGATTGGTTATTTCCCATGACAACTCCACCTTACTTCACCATTTCATATGTTTCAAACCAAACCCTATTGGGACACATATGGAACGAACACGCTGAATCCAAAATCCACTCCTCATCCAACTTAGATTCTATGTCAGATACGGTCAACACCACATCTTCCCATCCAAAAATCTCTCGGCAATATTAGTTTCATCCGAATGATTAGATTGCCTCCCATGATTTGCAGATAAATTACTTTTACCATGAAACTTGTTACAATCCTTCTTGATGTGTCCTTTTCTCCTACAGTAGAAGCAAACCTGATTGCTGAAATTCACCCTCAACCTGCCCCTCCGTCGATCACCGTACGAAACTAGGCCTCCTCTAGCTCCAAAGATATGCCTTTAAAAATAAAGCATCATAAGTATCGTCAATGGTGAGTGTGTCACGACTGTACAAGATCGTGTCCCTGAACGAAGAATACGAAGCGGGCAGTGAGTACAACAGGATCAAGGTCAGATTCTTTTCATCATACTTGACTTCTAACGTTTCTAGATCAGCGACGATTTCCTTGAACACGCCCAGATGGACCTCCAAAGAACTCCCTTCTGCCATGCGATGAGAATAAAGCTTTCGCTTCAGATGTAACTTACTCGTCAATGTCTTCGTCATGCACAGTTACTCTAGTTTTAACCACAATGCAGCAACTGATTTCTCCTTAACCATGTCCTGAAGAATGTTGTTAGAAAGATGAAGACGAATTATAGACAGGGCCTTCCGGTCCTTTTGTTGCTTCTCCTCTGTTGTCCAACTTGTTGGCATTTTATCAAAACCCAACAGAGTATCGTCCAAATCCATCATCGCTAGAATTGCTTTCATCTTTACTTGCCACAGAGAAAACCTTGTATTACGATCCAAAAGTAGAATATCATACTTCACGGTAGCCATCAAAACTAGAAATCTCAAATAAATTCAACAACGTGTAGCTCTGATACCACTTGTTGGGACCTTTTGAACCCATGTGTTGTGAAAAATCGAAAGAGATGAATAGAGTAATATGAAGTATTGATCGCTCATCAAACAAGAACAAGATTTAAAGTAA